TTGAGACCAGCCTGAACAAGAGGAATACCCAGTCTCTACTAAAAATAGAAGGAGGCGGGCATTGTGGTCGGTGCCTGTCATCTGAGCTACTCAGGAGGCTGAGGCAGGAAGATTGCTTGAACCCAGGAGAGCTTGACACTGTGGTGAACCACTCTAGCCTGGGCAACAGAGTGAGACTATGTCTCCAAAAAAAAAGGAAGGCCAAGTATGGTGGCTTACATCTGTAATCCTAGTACTCTGGGAGGCCACAGCTGGTGGATTGCTTGAGCTCAGGAGCTGGAGACCAGCCTGAGTAAGAGCGAGACCGCTCCCACCTCTAAAAATAGCCAGGTGTTGTGGTGGTCACCTATAGTTCCAGCTATTCTAGAGGCTGAGGCAGAGAATCACTTGAGCCCAAGAGTTTGAGGTTGCTGTGAGCTGTGACGACACAGCACTCTACCCAGGGTGACAAAGTGAGAGTCCGTCTCAAAAAAAAGCAAATAAGAAGAAAGAAAAAAATCAAAAAATAAGAATTAAAAAAATTAAATTGTCTTACTTTTTCTGTAGGATGCCAGTGAAGACTGTTACGTTGGGAGGAGGGGAAAATCTGTTCTTTCATATATGTAACCCAGGACATACTAGGAAAAAGTTCTTGGAACAATGTAGACATTGGTGATAAAAGAGATATAAATGAAGACTATTCAGTGTGACCACATTTTCTTTTAAGGAATCCTCTTAATTGCCTCATTAAGCTGGAGAGTTCTGTTAACCATTAGAAGACTGATATATTATTATTATATACATACCACATTAATAGTAGAATTTTAAAGGGCTAAATAGGAAGATGAAGAAACTGAAAACTAGAGACCCAAGAATAATTTTTAATGGATGTCAGATCTATTAAATAATTAGTTTAGTGTTAACGTCCTCATCTTTTTGGAATACCAACCCCAAACCACCTTTTCAACTAACTCAGCAAAGGCAGTTGCCTCACACAGACTGCTGGTGAGGTCTAACCCCCCCCCCCCCAGCACCAACCCTGGGGTGCAAAGGCACAGGAGGGCTGCACTGATGTATGACCCACATATACTCAAATTCTACTGCCAATTTATGAAGACAGGATGATGCAGGGGTAATAGAAATACAAACTCTTTCACATAAGAAGAAAACTGTACCGACAGGGAACCTGCGAACACCGCAAACACGGTTTCCTTTCTAATCAAAGAATTGCCTTTGCCACTGTGGATCGTGACCGTGGACTGAGAACGACTGATAAGGAGAAGCTAGTGTTAGTCACAGAAAATGGGGATTCTTAACTTTCAGTTGAAAGAGATTGGGCTTATTTAAAAAATAAATTTTAAATAATTATTTGGCAAAAATAAAATATTTTTAACTTTCTTTAGCCTTAAGCCACTAAAGATAGTAATACCAGTTTGAAGGGGAAAACAAATGTATTTTTCAACTTCACCTCCATTTCTACTATTTGCCTCTTCTTAAATTTTAATCTCATAGAGAGACGCCAGACACACCACACTGCCTGCCAACAGGAGACTACTCAGGAAATCATTTCGAAAGCAGTTACATCACACATAGTAGGTTACTGAGAAAATAATCCTTTGCTGTACAAGCTATGCGACGATAACTAGAAAATTTTTCCATTGCATAGTCTGTCCCTTGGTGGGTTAAGTATAATTGCTACTTACTATCATGAATGTTTACTAGCTACATAACCTACCCACATGTGCAAATTGCTAAGCCATTTTTACAGAGAAAAAAACCAATGTCTTAAGTACTTTATGAAAATAATATTAATAATTATGTAGAGAAAGTAAAGGAGAGAAAGCCCATCTTTTCTTTAGATGCTACAGATCACTGCCAGTGAATGTCATACATTGAATGGAATTCAGATTCTCAGAGCACAGAATGTATCCATTAACTGCAGCAACTTCATAAATTAAATCACAGTAACACAATCTAACTGGCCTTTATAAATGGTCCCAAAGAACTACAGAAACAGAGTGAACCTTCTTTACCACTATTTCTCATGAGTTTAACACTAGAATAACAGCTAGTTTCCAACTAATTAGGATCTTTCGCAAGATCTATTTTTGATTCCAGTATTGCCTTATTATAGCGTAAGTGCTATTTTAAAAGATACCAATTTTCATATTTCTGGAGTAAAAGACACTTCATTCCTTTCTTCACATATTAATAGCAAACCTACTACTAATTGACTAGAATTGCTCCATTAACTAGAAGAAAAACATAATAGATTATCTCTGGACTTACAGATGTTCTTCTCTCTTCCAAAAAGGGACTCACAAGAAACAGCAAGAGCAAAGCAAACTACAAGCTTGTTCATTTGTTCTGAAGTAAACGAAACGAGAGGAAAGGTTTGGTTTTGCTAATTTCTCACCCTACACTGGTACTTTGTAAAGAGTGCTTCTTCCTCAGCTATCATCATGGGCATCTAAACAAAAATGTATTAACTCAAAAGTTTTTGGTGTGAAGCTGTAACTGGCAACATTCCTGATCATTTCATGCCTCCTTACTCGAAAGCAGAGAAGGTCTGCTTTTAAATGCACATAGAACAGAAAATTGCAAACAATAAAATGTGCAACTTACTGCAAACTCAGTTTTGATAACTGGAGAATTTTAAGCAGCTAACACAAGGGATAAATAGCCAGAAAAAGTACAGATCGACTACCCACGACTTTCTCTTCGCTGTCAAATAAAGGCTGACGAGGAAATCACTGTGCTGCTCTCCTACAACCTCTAATCAGTACACAACAGAGACTAAACTGAATTGCTGGGAATGGACAGTTATCTAGTGACGATTATAGCGGGTTGTGAAAAGACTTTAGCAAACTAAATGACACTTTTGAGCAGAGGTAACTACTCATCATTTCATTACAGTACATTAACATAAAAAAGCTTACTAACATAGGTTTACAGGTGAGAAATACTCAAATTATCTATTCTCACCATTCAGAATAGAAATTTATGATGATACCAAATATAATTTTGCTTTGTGACATAATTTAGAAATTTCTTAATCTGCAAAAAAGGCAAAGCTATTAAAAATAAATCTTCCAATCAATTATCATGATTTTAAAAAAAACTAAATATATTACAAACATATTTTTGGCCCACAAAAAGAAACTTCAATAAATACAAAATAGGGCATATAATGATTTCATACAGTCATGTGACATTTCCCCTCCACAATCTCAGGCACGTGGTATCTGCATAATGCCTGCTGATCACCATCATTCCTTTAAAAAGCAGAGAAAGAAAAGCTTTTACAAAAAGGGACTGGTTAGAACTAGCATGGCATAAAGAGATACACAAGTAGGAAAATACATCCAAATCTTTACCTATTAGAAAGGAATTATGATCAAATATTCCCTGACAAATGAATTACTGAACCACATCATTAATAGATACCTTCTTTCGACTTAACTTTTAAAATATATATATGTAAATTAAATTAGACTCAGGTATAAACTGCCAATGATAGGTTGTCTCCAGGGACAGTGAAACTTCTCAGCAAAAGCAGAGCGGAGATGCCTTTAAAATCTAGTCCTACCCCATCTCTGGGGGAAAAAAAGCAGGCAAGAAGAGACCCCACATATTCACTTCATAATTACCAACTTACTAACCTACCTAATATGATTTTTAACTTTAAAATCTTGGTATTTAAAAAAAAATTCCCAAAACTATTTCCAAATTTACTTTAATCTAAGTACTTAAATTATTTTAAAAGTACCAAAGGGTGGGTAAAATTGATATTTAATTTCCATATTCTGTTTTGAAAGAAACTTTAAAATGTGTATCTTTCAGATATTACACAGCACTTCACAACTGGTACACCGATTCCACAAATGTCTTCAACATTTTACAAATCTTACCAAAGAATCACTGCTGTAAACATGAAAAATTCAAAAGCAAAAGATGAATCAAGTTCACAGATCTCATCTTTTCATATCTATCTGACCTATCCTGCTTTTTCACATCAAAATGATTTCTTTAATTACATCTTACAAATAAATGTATTCCATGAAAGAGGGACTTAGAAACAAACATACGTCTGAAAAGGCAGAGGGACTGTCGGGCCCGAACCTCAGCAAGCCTGCAACCAATCAGGTAAGCTTCTCGTGATATTCCCACATCACTGATGTGAACTGAATCCAGCTTTTCATGTTCTGTTTCTTCTTGGGGTAAGTTTTAGCAGAAAAAGGTTGCGCTATTCACAGGACCAGACACCACCTTCCCTACCCAGGAAACTGGTTAACTCAGTAGAAGAGAATGACCAATCTTAATAGGGTTATGAGAAATAGAAAAGGAGAAAAGAGCCTTATACTCAATATGGTGAGGAAAAAAATAAAAATAAATCAATGAGACAGCTGCTTCCTGCACTGCACAAAAACACACATGTGAGCACACGCACACTCACAGGCAGTCAAGAGACAAACTTTTTTCTTTTAGTTAAACATGATCACAATTAGGAATGAAATTCTGGCCTTACTGTGACATTCAGCAGTTGGTGCTAAGTCAGAGCCTTGACCTGCCACACACCATTTGCCATCTCTTACACTGGAACTCAGTTAATAGGATGCATTCTATCTAGAACCACCTATGAAAAACGTGGCCAAAGAATGGAAAGCATTGATCTGAATACTAGGACATATAAAGGGCACTGGTAATCTGAGGTATCTTCCACTTCTAGGACTTGCTGCTAAAAATCCATCCTATCCAGTCACTGTGCTGAACTGCTAGGGAAACCACTGCAGCCGAGTGGACCTGCCAGGAGGGAATGAGCACCGGTGCTGAGGAGCACATGTGAACACTGGAGCAAGGTCCACTGCAGGGCCACTTGTTGGACTGGGAACGGGGTGCCCCTCAAATCCCCATCTATTAGTTTTTAAATCTTCTTTAGGAAAAGGGGAGAGGAGTGCTAAGGAGGAAACAAAAATAGAAAACACCGGGCTCCCCACTTGCCTGCAAACACACAGACACACTCAGTTAGGGGAGGGGAAGGGAGGAGACGCATTATTGGTACTTGTAGCTGCGGCACCTGTTACTGTGAAGCCTGTAGGAGGGGCTATAGAGCTGTGGCTGGGCTGCAGGTCCTTAGGAATGCCACTGTGAGAACTCAGCTGGTGGCCGAAGGCTGCGCTGAACTGAGGGAGCTGCTGCTTGGGAGAGGTGGAAGCCATTAGTTCAGCAGAAGGCCCCATGCCACTGAAGCTGGTCTGCGGTAACCCCGGAAGCACGCTGGAGCTGCTGGGGGTCACGGTGGCGAAGGCAGGCTGTGTGGTCTCTGAGTTCGAAGTGGTGGGTGGTGTGGAGAGGGAAGTGGAAAGAAGATGTCCATCTGCGCTGAGAAGGTTGCTAAATGGAGAGGGATCTCCAAGGTTGACGGGGAGATTACCCCAGTGAGTTCTAGGGTTGACCACTCCTCCAAGTGGCACCTCGAGTTGGGTTGGGAGCAAGTGCTGTGCCATGATGGGCATCTCTGCTGAAAAGGTAGCTGCCATATTATCACCAGAGTAAGATGTTGTGTGGGGAGAGGTGATATGGTCACTGTAGGGAGACGGCACGTGCTCACTATCATAATGGCTTCCATGGGGCGAGGAGTGTGAATGATCACTGCTGTATTGCTGTCGTGAGGTGATTAGGTCATCTGCCTTGCTCAGCAGCTGGGCAGGATGTGGCCTCTGGGAGGCATGGCTGCCATCATGAAGTCCATGAAACTGTCCTGGGAAGGCTCTCTCCCCAAGTGCACTCTGGCTGATCAGAGTGGCAGAAGTAAGGCCAACGTTGGCTGGGGCAGAGAACTGCCCCTGGATCTGCCCTGCCAGGGGTGTAGGTGGGTTAGACAATGTAGCAGAACGGAGGAGGTTCTCATCCAGCTCTAGACTAGAAAAATTATCATGTACTATACGCCCATTCAAGAGCTCCCCTAAGTCCGTATTTACTTCTCGGCTCAAGGACTGGATTCCTGAAGCTCCAGTACCTGTGGAGAATACCCCTATTCCTCTATCTGACAACTCCTGGACTGGCACACCGTCTGACTGGGCAAGGACCCCAATGGTACTCAGGCACTCGAGAGAAGTTACAGCCTGCAAGGCCCGTTCAAGCTCCTCGGCCTCTTCGGTAGTCGGGAGGAGGTCTCCATTCTTTCCTGAGTCAACAAAAGCCATCGAGAATCAGTAGAGTTTTTACCTGTTCTATATGACAAAGATTCACACATGTGAATTTAAACAATATTAAGTTTCCAAGATTTGTATTAGAAGGAAAAAGTGAAAAGTTAATATGCAAGATAGGTCTGAAACATTTGCTGTCCTCAAACTTGAACCATTATCTTGAGTTTATTTCTGATACTCTCAAAAAACATCTAATACAAGTATAAAATGCTTAAGAAATCTAAGTATTACCAATTTAAAACTCATGATAACTACTTGATTAGACATGTTTTTTCCTAAAATTTTATTAGCATCATTAAAATAAAAAACATGTCAAATGTGATTTGGGACAAAGGCTGCACAGAACAGGTCTCCCTTGCTTTTCTACTCCTAGACTCTTCCTGCCGGGCAGCAGCTGTGGACCAGAACACAGAAGCTCGTAGATAAATCTTAGTGCAACACTGAGCGCTCAGTGCACTTCACGGGTTACCTTCAAAATGCTTCTGTTTTATTCTCTAATCCTTCCCAAGTATTACTTTTCTATTTTTTAACTAATTTGTATAAAATGGAAGCCTAATGACCTATTTTGATTTCATTTTATTAAAAAAATCTGTTATTGGCCAGGTGCAGTGGCTCATGCTTGTAATCCTAGCACTCTGGGAGGCTGAGGAGGACTTGATCACTTGAGCTCAGGAGTTCGAGATTAGCTTAAGGAAGAGTGAGACCCCCGTCTCTACTAAAAAAATGAAAAACTGAGAGAAGAAGATCCCTTGAGCCTTAGAAATTGCTATGAACTACAATGCCACAGCACTCTACTGAGGGCAAAAAAGTGGGACTCTGGCTCAAAAAAAACCCCCCAAAACAAAAAAACTATTGTTAGGAACTTGATTAATCACCAAGAAAATATCTAATTTTTATTTATTTTTTTATTTTGCAGTTTTTGGCTGGGGCTGGGCTTGAACCCGCCACCCCTGGTATATGGGGCCAGAGCCCTACTCCTTGAGCCATAGGCAACACCAAAAAATATCCAATTTTTTTTGCAGTTTTGGCTAGGGCTGGGCTGGAACCTACCACCTCCAGTATTATGTGCCCCACTCCTTTGAGCCACAGGCACCCCCCAAAATATCCAATTTTTAATGGTGAAAGAAACATTCTTGGGTGGTGCCTGTGGCTCAGTGGGTAGGGTGCCGGCCTCATATATGGAAAGTGGCAGGTTCAAACCCGGCCCTGGCCAAACTGCAACAAAAAATAGCCAGGCGTTCTGCAGCCACCTGTAGTCCCAGCTACTTGGGAGGCTTAGGCAAGAGAATCGCTTAAGCCCAGGAGTTGGAGGTTGCTGTGAGCTGTGACGCCATAGCACTCTACCAAGGGTGATATAGAGAGACTCTGTCTCTAAAAAATTAAAAATGAAACATTCTAAGGGTATAAAAGATTTCTCCTTAAAGCACTGGGAAATTGGTGGGATTAAGCAAACTTTGTTTTGGAAAAGTACACTCCAACTGAAGTACAGGGTGGGGTACTAAAATTAGGGCAAGTTCTAAAAGACCTCAATAAACTCATGTTAAAATACCTCTGTTCAAAAATAAAGTTATTCATTTTAAAGAAACAAAGTGATAAACCTAGCTATTAAACTATAAGATGGCTAAACAAATTGCACATTTCTCTTCTTCTAAAAAGCTTTAACAGTATTACATTTTCTATCTACAATCACAGACATTGTATTTGAGGAGAAAAACTTCAAACACATCTTAAAAAACCATTTCCTCGCTCAGCACCCGTAGCTCAGTGAGTGAGGGTGTCAGCCACATACACTGACAGTGGTGGGTTCCAGCCCAGCTGGGCCTGCTAAACAACAATGACAACTCCAACCAAAAAAAATAGCCAGACGTTGTGGTAGGCACCTGTAGTCCCAGCTATTTGGGAGGCTGAGGCAAGTCACAGCACTTTACTGAGGGCGACACAGTGACACTCTGTCTCAAAAAACAAAACAAAACAAAACATTTCTTATCTAATACTAGGCCCTTGAATCAAAATATTAACGATACCTTCAAAAAAATCAAAATCTTGTAAGTCATCAGGTAGCCGTGGCAGGACATCTGAAAAGTCTTCCTGGTTCAATTCCAAGTCATGTGGAATGTCAGTGATCTCATTGGCAATGTCATCCGGCAACTCATCAGCACTCAGCTCTGGCGTGGACGGGCTCCTAGGGAAGACGGCACGGATGGAAAAAAAGGCGCAGGTGGTCCCATGGCACTCCCCTTTACCTCCACACAGTGTCACTGAGTCAAGTACATCCAACAGGAAAAGAAGCTAATGTCTTTTAGGTTTTTTAGAGTCAATTCAGATATGGAAAATCTTAACTTTAAATGTCTCCTCCCTTATTTGTAAGAGAAGGATATTTGAAAGCAGAGGAACTGCAAGAAAACAGACAGACATGGCATTTTTTTCTGCTACCTTTACCCACGTATTAATAGTCAACAACCATTACTAGATAATATCTGTATTCCAAATTAGTAGAATTAAGTCTGGGAGCAGTGGCTCATGCCTATAATCCTAGCAGTCTGGGACGCTGAGGCGGGTGAATTGCTTGAGCTCAGGAGTTCAAGATCTGCCTGAGCAAAGCGAGACCACTATCTCCACTAATGATAGAAAAAGTAACCAGGCACTGTGGTGGAGGCTGAGGCAAAAGGATCACTTGAGCCCAAGATTTGAGGATGCTGTGAGCTACGATGCCAAGGCTCTCTACCAAGGGCAACTGAGTCAGACTTTGTCTCAAAATTAAAAAAAAAAGGTAGAATGAGTCACAATTTGGTATATTAAGTGTGTCAATACTTTCTACAGAAATGTCAAATCTGGGGTGGTGCCAGTAGCTCAGTGGGTACGGCAACTGAGCCACATACACTGGGGCTGCTGGCAGGTTCAAACCCCGCCTGGGCCAGCTAAACAATGATGGCTGCAACAAAAGAATAGTTGGGTGTTGTGGTGGGTGCCTATAGTCCCAGTTACTTGGGAGGCTGAGGCAAGAGAATTGCTTAAGCCCAAGAGTTTGAGATTGCTGTGAGCTGTGATGCCACATCACCCTAGCAAGGGCGACACAATGACACTCTGTCTCAAAAAAACAAAGAAAGTAAGAAAGAAAAGAAATGTCAAATCTGGCCAAAATAATACTTTTGAAATGAAATACTACATTTTATAAAATAAATACATTTTATTTAAAATGAAATAACAGGTAAAATGAAAATGCTTAGCTGAAATAGCAGTTTGATTTACCTGGTCAAACTGCTCAACACTGCCAAAATAAATAATGCATTGTATTTCTGATGGTATATTTCTGTTGGAATATATATAAAATTTCTATCTAAATTTTAAAAAGCTGAGTATATAATTCTCAATTTAAGCATCTTTTTTCTTTGTTATAATCGAAAGTTTTATTTTAGATTTAATACAGCCCAGATATAGACAAAATTTGTACCAAACACTGTAAAAAGTCTAGGCCAGTGGTTCTCAACCTTCCTAATGCCGCAGCCACTTAATACAGTTCCTGTGGGTCACAACCCACAGGCTGAGAACCGCTGGTCTAGGCTGATATGCTGATTGGCTTTTGTAGCCTAGTGCCTACTTCATGATGACCACATGAAGCTTGATGTTCTGAGAATAACCAAAAAACATACAGAAAAAGTAAATCCTGGTGTCATCACTGACCGGATCTGAGAGGTCTCCACTGGCAGTGAGACGCTGGTGGGCATGCTGAGGTTCCCTTGGGGGACTGCAGGGGGAATGGGTTTTTGGGGTCGACGAGGTCCACGCCGTCTCTTCTTCTTGTGTTTTTTGGTAAGTGCAGGAGGCTTGGTTTTTTTCCTGGGTTTCCTCTGCTGCTGGTGCTGAACTTTACGGGAGTTATCTCCTCTCAAGAAATTATCCTTTGGAATGAATAAGTGGGTTTTTAAAAACTAGGTTTATTTAAGAAAAACCTAATGGCCATCTTAAAAAATATTTATATCTCTTAATAGTCTATACAATGCCTAAAACATCCTGTATGCCCAAAACTATATATAACTGCCAGAAGCAGTAGCTCACGCCGACCAGCCTAAGCAAGACGGAGACCCCCATCTCTATTAAAAATAGAAAAACTAGCCTGGCGTTGTGGTGGGCCCCTGTAGTCCCAGCTACTTGGGAGGCTGAGGCAAGAGGATCACTTGAGCCCAAGAATGAGGCTGCTGTGAGCTATGACACCATGGCACTCTACCCGGAACAGAGGGGGAAAAATCTATGTATGACTATAACTAAATGAACAAAAAATTATTCAATTCATACCCAGCCTCTACAACTGTGAGAAACAGATTTCTGTTGTTCACAAGCCACCTAGTCTACAACAGCACAAATAAACTGAGACAACATATTCCATCAATTCCAAGATCTACATTTTTAAAATATCTGCAGTTTCAAAGCATTTTACACTTGCTAGCACATTACAGCTGCTCAGCCAGGTGATGGTCATTACAGTTGGCATGGCCTACACATGCCCACACACGGTTCCGATTCTTCGTATTGGCATTTTGAATTAAGGTATGTGTACTGTTGGGCGTGGCTCAAGGAGGAGCATTTGGACGGTATGCAAAAAGGTACAAAGCAGCAGGGCATAAAATTATTAGTAAATACTCATTATTGAAGAAATGACCACATTCCTTTTTTTTTTTCTTTTTGGAAAGCAACAACCAGTAAGTGAGAAAGGAAAATAACTAGAGTAGATGAAGTTATATTAAAAACTGAAGTGTGGGCTCAGCACCTGTAGCTCAAGTGGCTAAGGCACCAGCCACGTACACCTAAGGCGGTGGGTTCGAATCTAGCTCGGGCCGCCAAACAACAATGAACGGCTGCAACCAAAAAATAACCAGGCATTGTGGCGGGCGCCTGTGGTCCCAGCTACTTGAGAGGCTGAGGCAGGAGACTCGCTTGAGCCCAGGAGTTGGAGGTTGCTGTGAGCTGTGAAGCCACGGCACTCTACCCAGGGGGACAGCTTGAGG